CGCAATAACTGGGCTTAACAACACCAATCATACCATCTCAGATTTACTCACTTGTTCATCTTTCAGTGTTATATATGCCATCTAAAAGAACTGCACTGGCTGCCTATAGTATACCAGATTCGGTTCAAGATGCTGGTTATTACCTTTAAAGCCCTTTATGGCCAGGGACCTGCATACTTGAGGGACCGCCTTTCCCCATATGTTCCCCAGAGAGCGCTGTGATCGGGACCCAGAATTGGCTGGTCCTCCCGAACATCAAGGAGGCCAGGTTAGTGACAACAAGGGCGAGGGTTTTCTCGGTGGCGGCTCCATTCTGGTGGAATGAGCTCCTGGAGAAGATCAGGGCCCTGCGGGATCTGTTACAGTTCCGCAGGGCCTGTAAAACAGAGTTCTTCCACCAGACTTTTGAAGCCGCCGCCACCACTGCCACCACTGCCATCTGACAGTTTACGGAGAGCAAGCCCAACGTCCAGGGTCCCCCAAGTATAGCCTGACCCGAGTGCCTGGGACATATGAAGGAGATTAAGAAGCAGACTGTATGCCGAGGAATCAAATGCTGGCACTTTAATAAGCTGTATAGTTATGGTTTTAAACTTGTCTTTGATTGGATTTTATATGGTATATTGTATTATTATATTGTACTGTTTTATATCGCTGTGTAAGCTGCCCTGTCAGCAATGCCCTTCCACTCTCTACAATGGACAAACAGGTCAGTCCCTACACAAAAGAATAAATGGACATAAAACCCACATTAAAAACCAGAACATTCAAAACCAGTGGGATAACATTTTAATGTTCCAGGTCATTCCATTGCTGACCTAAGAGTGGCAGTCCTCAAGCAAAGAAACTTCAACAGGAAATTACAATATGAGATTGCTGAACAAACTCATTCAGAAGTTTTGAACAATGGACCCTCCAGGGCTGAATAGGGACATAAGATTCTTATCTCACTACAGATGCTAATTTTCTTCCCCCAAGCATTTCCCCTCTGCTCTAATCAAGCTGATTACAATGTGCATTGTACCTCTGAATCCTTTACAAGCATTCTTTATAACACTCCTCCTACCTTCTAACTGGGATATAAAGACTCTGATATCTCCATTCCTATTCATGTCTGACAAAAGGAGCTATGACTCTTGAAAGCTTATACCCTGAATTCTATAGGTCTCTAAGGTACTACTAGACTCAAATCTATATTCAGTCTGTCTTCTATTTAAATGCACCTTTTGTCTATGACTTATTCTTTTCAATCGCCCTAAAAACCAATGCCCTCCTTTAGAGATGTTTTCAAATGTTGAGAATTTGAGGCTCTTTCAGTGATCCATGCTTTTAGTTTAAACCATTCTGACCCCCACCCAGTTTTAGTAATATGGAATGGAAATGCCAGTTACAGATGAATTCCACTGGCTACTTGAAGAAATCAGCATTGGTCCCTGCCACACGGGGGGGAGGTACAGGCAAAGTGCAGCTTTTTAAAGCCGCACCAAAAGAAACACGTGGCGGCAAGATCACATTGATCCCCTGAGCCACAGCGCATTCCCTCCCCAGCACGATCAGATGCCGGGGGAAGCCATGGTGGGGAAAGGAAGGCTGCTGAACTCCACATGTGTGAGCATGCGCAGTTCAGCCAGGACCCTGGGATGCGCCGGCAGAAGGACGCGCCGGTGATCCCACAGCCGGGCTTGATGCAGCCGTGCTGGAAGGTCCACCTCAGTAGGTGGTGTATTTTTGCTGTGGCTTTTCGGGCGGAAGGGCTGGATTGGGGACGGGTGCGCAATGTTTCCCAGATGTTGCGGTGGGATCGTGCCCATTTGCTGCGCCCCCGATCCGTCCCTCTCCCAGCCCAAAACCTTTCGTGTGACCGGGGCCCTAGAACGTTAGCGGTGTAGAACTGAAATGTGCATTTGATGACCCTTAGCCACTCAACTGCCATTCACACACAGTATGATCACTAATGATTTGCTCAAAACTTTCCACTAGTCCCCCTCAAGGGAAATCAGCTGTTAATAGCTATTGCTAACCTGGAGCAACTAATTAAAATCTATAATTTTCTGTATCAATGGGCTTACTCAATTTTTGTTTTATTGTAAATACACAATTACAAATACAGAGATGAAACATTTTGAAATGACTCTATAAAACATTAGTATAAACTTTCAAACAAGACTTCCACAAATTTTGAGATATCTGATTATCATAGAACTTTTTTTAACCATATATCATAGTTTTAAATAGCTTTGCAGCTCGTTTTCATGAGAACAGTATAACAATTTAACTGAGTTCATTTGATTATCTGTCGTCTGTAGGTAAATACAAAGGAAAAAGAAGAAATGATGATGATGATGATGATGATGATGATGATGATGATGATGATGATAATGGTAATAACTGGATGAAAACTCAAATCCACTTATGAAATTGGGACCACTTGGAGGAGAGGAATCGCTGCCGTGATAAATGCTCTAGTATCGGGAACCCTTTAGCGGTAAATGTGTCATGTGTGGGGTGTTGTGAAGAGAAATTTAGTTTATTTGTTACTGCATCCATTAAGTAGTGATTCCACAATTTTTTATACCACACTTCAATATTTGGTGCACTGTGTTCTTTCCAATATGAAGCAACTGCCGTTTTGGCAGCATCCAACATGACTTCCACTGTAGCTTTGTGTGGTCTATTTTTTAAATTAAGCGGACATGTATTTAAAAATATGGTCTCTGGTAAGAATGGGATCTTTACAGAGGTAATTTTTTGCATCGCGTCCAGTATGTCCAACCAAAAATCTTTTATTTTTACACATTGCCACCAGCAGTGGGCGGCTTACTCAAACATGACCCACAATGAGATTCACTCTTTTTTCTTCAGCCGACAGAAAGCCACTACAAATGAAAGGTTTGAAGCTTATGTCAGTAAAGAGTTTGACATAGTTTGAAGCTTATGTCAGTAAAACAGATATTAACTGAGGTAGAACATCATAACATGAAACCCTCTGCCTACAGTTTTGGTGATCAGGCAGGGATAAAGTCAACAGGAAACTGTGGCAGCTAATCAAGGATGAGATCCATTTTTGCATTAGTTTTGAAGTATCCACAACATTAAAAAAAACAACCCCTGCTACTTTAGATTAAATAATTTGTAGAAAAATAGAAATAATTAGAGGACTATGAATAAGATTTCTATAACAAGCCCTTTGGGCTGTGGGTTGTTTCTAGGGTGACCAGATCACCTGGGTGGGAGGACCCTGCAAGTCAGACAGCAAAGTTGGAGAATGAAAGATGGGCACCTGTTGGAGGGATTAAATGGGCCAGAAAAAAAACAAAATGAAATGAAACAAAAACTGCAGTCTAAGGCCCTGTTCACACGAGGGGTTTTGGGCCGGGAGCGGGATGGATTGGGGACGGCAACATCTGGGAATCATTGCCTGTCCGTCCCCGATCCGTCCCTCCCGCCCAAAACCCCGCACTAAAAAAGAACCACCTACCTAGGTGGTTCTTCGGAGAAGAGCGCCTCAAGCCTCGCTGTGGGATCGCCGGCGCGTCCTTGCGCCGGCGCATCCTCGGCTCCTGGCCGAACTGCGCATGTGTGAGCATGCGCAGTTCGCCAGCCTCCCCTTCCCACCGTCACTTTCTCCCCGGCATCTGATCGTGCCGGGGAGCGACGCGGCTCAGGGGATCCGTGGGTTCCCGCCCGGCGTCTCAACTTTGGTGCGGCTCAGAATGAGCCGCACTTCTGCCGTCGCTTTCCCTGCCGTGTGGCAGGGACCTGTGTTTTGCATTCTGGCTGCACGTTCTTGTTTTTTCTACATAAGTCAGACTGGTTGCCATTTTTTTTTCTTGCTTTCTTTTTCATGCAGCACACACATTTGACATGTGTGCATCGTGGCTGTGGTTATCAAAACAATTGGTTGGTGAACTTCTGTCACTTCCTGCTCAGGCATGAGCGCGTGCAAAATGTGTTTTTGTTTTACGTTGTTTAAGATTTTGTTATTGAATTGCATTTCACAGGACCATTTACTAGTTTTTTATAGGTGGGTGGTGTCCAAAGATTATCCAATGGCACTGCAGGGGTAGCTGTGTTAGTCTATTGTAGCAAAATAAAATAGTCCAGGGGAACATTAAAGACTAGCAGTATGTATTCCGGTATGAGTTTCTGTGAGTCAGAGCATACTTCTTCATATGCAATGAAAGGAAAAGATTTTTCTTCCATGGCTTCTGAGGAAGGGACTTCTGACTCACAAAAGAAGAAGAGTTGGATCTATACCCCGCCCTTCACTCAGAGTCTCAGAGCAGCTTACAATCTCCTTCCCTTCTTCACCCCACAACAGACACCCTGTGAGGTAGGTGGGGCTGAGAGAGCTCTTTCAAGGACTGCTTGTGAGAGAACAGCTCTGAGAGAAGTGTGACTTACCCAAGGTCACCCAGCTGGCTGCATGTGGAGGAGTGGGGAATCAAACCCAGCTCTCCAATTTAGACTACGCCACTCTTAACTACTAGACCAAATGCATGCTGGAAATGGGAACCAAAATCCTAGTGCTCCAGCTGCAGAACACAGTGCTGGTAAAAGCTGTCCTCACACCTGCAACACACCATGCCAGTGTCTTTCGATATACCCATCCTAAAGCACTTAATCCTAAATCCTTTTAAGTCCACTGAAATTAATGTACTTAGATGGCTGTTAGCTCTGCTTAGGACTGCAGTGTTAGAGGAAGCTCACTGTTAGCAGACCTCACACCAGCAAGAGTATAGACATCTACCAGGTTGAGGAAATCACATTTTGCCATTCAGGTCAGCCAAAAATAAAATGATCACCTGTAATCAGTCCCATTCACAGCGGTCCATGTATAGGTTCTGCTTCCCTTGTCAATGTAACGCTGCAAGACACAGACCGAGAGAAATTTTCTCAGGTATTTCAGGAAAACTACATAAAAACTCCCAGGAAGAAATTTCATGTCCTAATTCATTACTACACCTACACACACACACTATTACACATTTTGTCATTGAAATGATTTTAAAGGCCAATTTGCCAATTTATAAAAAGTGTTATAGTCATTTAAGTTCTTCAAGCCAAGACAAAAGCCAGTTACCAAGACATGGAGTCAACCTTCATGAAGTGAAAATTCAACCTATTCTTTTCCAGACGTTGTCCCCAAACACCTGTTGATTTTTTTTCTGAAATAGACTCAAACTACATATTACAAATTACATGAAGTCCCGATCAGAGTCAGGTCCCTGTGGAGTTTCTCAATGTAATTGCCAGTGGGAACTCGCAGATTCAGTGTGGTGGCTAGTCCCCTGTAGTGAACTCATAACATGTAGCTCGGTCCTCACGCAGCTCAGCCTCTGGAGTTCTTTTTCAGATTGCACTTGTTACCTTTCCCCCCCCATCCTTTTATTAATTTGGTTGTAGTGCGCAAAGAAACATTATTAAAAATAGCCACCCATTCATTTAAGAATTTGCTGGTTAAAACTGGAATACCATCATGTTTGATATATATGAGAAGCCTTTCCACAAAGCTGGGTCTGTAATGAAGGAAGGTGAGACAGTAGTCCCAAGCAAATGATTGGGGGGGGGGGGGCAGTCTCCTCTTTTTTCCATAATTGCTACTGCTGAAGCCTCATCTCCATTGTCCTCACCTCTCCCTCTACCGAGGAACTGAAGCAACAAATTCGCCTTCCCTCCTTGTGTCAAGGGAATTAGCTTTCTTTATGTAAAATTCTATTTCTGAGGTATTTGTTTTTCTGTTCTCAGCTCAGTGAATACCAGATGTCAGCAATTTGGTGAGAGCAGCCATTTCCACACTGGCCATTATCAAGACCATTCCACAGGTATCCAACAGCCCTGCTAATTATAGCTGTAATTGTTGGGAGGGGAAAGTTATATTCATCTTCCAGAAAGCTCTATCAGGACAATGTTTTAATTGGTCATAGGAGGTCAGTAGATCAGTGACTTAAGTTTCTTATAAATGTAGAGTATCCTCATACGTGTCACTCCTTTGTTTTTGTTTAAACATTCTTTTCTTTCTGTAACTGTAACTTTTGTCTCTGCTGTGTTATTTTGTCATTGCATCTACTTTGGATTGTGCTGATTGTATCTGCCAGTACTTCAAGAACTTAACATGCATGCTATAAGAACCTTTTGTAAGTTTCCCTAGAAAGTAATCTTTGGCCCCGGTCACACGGCAAAGTTGCCGCGGGAGAGGCACGGATGGTGGGTGGATTATCCGGGCGCGATCACACCCCAACATCTGGGAAGTGGAGTGCACCCCTGGCTTACCACCGACAATCAGCCTTAAAAAAACTAGTACCTCCAAGGTACTAGTAAACGCTTGCCACGGGCTACCTCCAGACGCCCGTGGTGTAATCGTGCTGGCGCGCGACATTCCCCTCCGGTCCCTCGTTTACCCGCTGGCGCCAAGGGAAAGACCCGTGGTGTGCCGCTGGCGCGTCTGATCGCGTAATCGCGGATCAAACTGTGCCGGGGCAATTAGCCACCCCTCCCCCCGCGCGATATACGGCCTGTGTGACCGGGGCCTTTGTTGTTTTTATGTACTTTGAACCATCACTGAACTGTACTGTTTTTAACCTTTTTAAATATCATTTTAATTTTTTTCATATGTGAGTGTGTGTGTGCATGTGAGTGTGTGTGTGTATGTGTGTATGTGTATGTGGAAGTCATGGCAACATCTGGTGACTGTGTGCGCACCGGGAAGTCATGGCAACCTCTGGTGACTGACCCTTACTGGGGGCCTGGAGGATATTCAGAGAGGCGGCTGGATAAAGCCTGCTCCCACCTCCTGACTGCTGGTATTCCAAGGAAGTCCCCCACCCAAGTACTTGCCAGAGTCGACCCTGCTTAGCTTCCGAGATTTGACAAGATCAGGCTTGCCTGGGATATCCAGGTCAGGGCTTTAAAAAATTTCTTTATAATAAACCATATTTATTTTTATGGTGTTTGTTGCTGTGAGTTGACTGATCCTGACCCAGGGTAATCTTGGTTATGTTATCAAAGGAGCATCTTGTTCCAGTGCCTGGAGATATGAGAAGAATGCACTCAGAACAAGGTGGGGTAGTCTTGACACCTTGCTGCATAACTTTCACAAGTTGCTCTGGCTCCTGTGGGGGGTTATAGATGCAGGTGAGAGTTAGCAGCTGAAGCTGGCAGCTTCTGGTAGTTGACCTCAATGGGCTACCATTGCCTGCCCAAACAGAAGCACCAAACGTTTGCAATGCTTATCTGTAAAATGTTCTCATGAGAGCAGAATTTTCTGAAACAGTATTTCATATCCTTGCATAAGTGAGTGTCATGTCCATTTTTTTTAAAAAAACCTTGGCTTAATTGCATGATGTTCATGATCCACAGGCAACCATGTAGTATTCCCAGCAGTCCTATAGTTTGGTTTGTATCTCTTCACCTCTCCAGCTCCTGTTGGCCCAAGGAACAGGTTTTCTGGCCATCTCCATGGAAAAAGGCAGGTGGGTGACATCTAAATCAATCATCCTAACAGACATTCCTTTCAAAGACTGCCCCTGGGAGAGGTAATGCCTCACGCAACATCTGGCCTACCAAAGACACACATTACCAATCAAGACTGTCCCAACACATTCCAATTCCTACCAGAATTCCTTCAGTCTATTTCCCCAAGAACCCAAGCCTCTCATTCTGGCCTCTGACCTTTATTTTTGATTCTACTCTATCTGGATTCACAGCATCCTTGCAAAGGCATCTTGGCAGTTTGTCACCAGATCCATTAATACTACATGTGTGGGTCACTGCCCAGTTTGGGGGCATTCCTTTAAGCCTGGTGTAGAAACCAAGGTGGGTTTAGCGCAGGTGGGTTTTCTTTCATATGAATCTAGGTTCAGACTGGAAAGCTGGTCGCATTCATGCTGACGTGTAGGGTAACGTGTCTTCTGACCACACACAGTAATGTACTATCGTGTACTACTACAGAACAGTATCTTGTACTATTTTTAAATTACATTTTATAATAGAAGCACACATATGTATGGGAATGTATCCTTCCCCCAAAGTTCAGTTCTGAGGCCAGGGGAAGGAGAAAGAAGCACACAATGTAATCCTGAGCAGAAATACACCTTTATAAGCCCATTTATTTCAATGGACTTAGAAGAACATAACTCTGCTTAGGACTGCATCTTAGAACATACCTTAATTATGTGCTAGCCTTGGCCAGCAGGGAGTTGAAATCAACATGACTATCATGGCATGTCTGATAGAGCAACTGAACTACCCCAAACGTGAAAAAGAAGTCTGTTAGGTTCTCCATAAAGCTGGTTAAATAGAGGTCTTGCGGCTGGTTAAATGTGTAAGGAAAAAACTTCATTTAATTTATACCATCCAGACTCCTAAGCAAAACCATTCTTGTTCCATGAATTTTTCCATTGTTTACAGAGTTTCACAAATCAATGTTCACTTTCAGGATAGCAATGTAAAATAAGCAGGTTGTTATGCTACCATTTTGTATTAGAGGAAGTTAGGAAAAACTAAAATAAGCGATAAAATATAATTATCCACGATCTGAAATGTTAGCCAGTGTACAAAACATGGTCCCCTGTCATGCCACCGGCACCATAAATGGGTATAAAATAAGGAAGAAAAACTATCAATGGAAGGTTTCTTTCTGCAGCAGCAGATCCAGGGTTGTGGCCTGTATATCTGATGAGCAGAAATACAAGAACTGGACATGAGCCAATGAGGAAGCAGTTTGGAAGGAGGGAGTATAGCCAGGAGAGGGCATCTGCCTCTCAAACAAGTCCAGCCTTTTCCTCCTCCCCCTTTTTTCCTTTATGAGCTTAGTTTATGCCATGGCTTTCCCAAGCTTAGCTTAGGGTTGCCAGGTCCTCTCGCTGATCCAGCGGGGGAATTTGGGGGACGTTTCGGGGCTGGGCAGGGACATTGCATGACATCATGTGGCAGATGACATCACCCGAAAATGATGTCATTGTGTCGGTGACGCTGGCAGTGATGCTCTGTTTTTTTTGGGAAACTTTATGGTAAATTCACCTCAAAACATAGAATTTTGCCCAAAAACCTTGTGCAACATCCTTGTGCAACATCCCTGAAGCAATAACATCATTTCTGGGTGATGTCATTGTGTTGGTGACGTCGCATGGTGATGTCCCTGTTTAGGGGCGGGGTTTCCCCCACAGGCCAGCTGGTCTGAGGAGGGGAGAAGCCCCTGAAAGCAGGGGATTCCCTGCTCAGACCTGGCGCCCGGCAACCCTAGCTTAGCTCTAGTGCTGTTTTCCAAGGCACAGGACATCTGAAGCATCAATCAAGAAGACAGGGCATGGGTGTATACCAAATGCCTTTAGCTGTCTGCAAAATCCAACATTAAGGTGAGGTGAGAAGACATTATTCACAGTCAGGCTTTAGACCCAGAACCTCTCATTTTAGAAATTAATTATATACTCTTCCTATTTGAGGAAGACCACACAGGAATGGTCTGTATCCCAACTGCTGTTTCTGCAGGAACAAGTCCAAACTGCCTGCCCAGATCTAGATTTTGGGACATTTGGGGCTCCCAAGATAGGAGGAAAGTGGAGGTGTGAATGGAAGTGTGAGTGAAGGTCCTTGTACCCACAGAAATGCCATCTGGGATTCAAGTCTCTGTCCAGTGGTATCTGGCTGGTTTCTGTTGGAAATAGATGCTGGATAAGATTGACTTTTGGTTTGATTCTTCAGGACAATTCTTCTTTTCTTAAGTAAATGAAACCATACATAGTTGGAGAACTGAAATGTGCTATTCGACCTTATTCTGGATGGTTTAGGAAGTTCAAATTCCAGGTACCAGGCCCACCTGGAAATGTGTCACTGGCCAACTAGCATTTGGGTTGTTTTTTTTACTCATGATTGCAACAATATTAGTGATTAGTTATGATGAATGGAATAACAAGCATGTGTTGATTTCATTATACATGTAAGTATATTATTTCACTTCATGTAGAATGAAAGAATGAGAGGCCACATCACAGAAAAGTTTAAATAGTTCCCTGACATTCTGTAAAAATTTAAGCAGAGTTAATTCTCTCAAAGGGTAGTCAGTTTTTTGAGTCAACATACTGCAATATTCTACTGAGAGAGGCAAACATACAGGGATGTATGTGGTAAACAAGTATAGATACTACATGGTAGCATTGCTAATAATATTCTAACATACTATTATACCTGACTTAATTGTATCTATGAACTGTTTAAATGTAAAAAATAACTACACTCTGGCTACAAAACAGTATATTTTTTGTTTTGATTGCTAGGAATTTGTTTTCTAATTGTCTTTCTCAAACACATTTTGATATAAATATCTGAGAATTGTAGTGCAACAGGGCTTTATTTGAAAACTAGGAATAAGGCCCATTGTGGAAATAAATACAACGAACTCTAGGAAGAGGCTCTGGGAGAGTGCCCCGGCCTTGGACACTCAGCGTCAATTTGCTGTGGTGACCTCAGCAGGGTATTATGACAGAGAGTCCACCATTTTCTCCTGGGGAACTGATCTCTGCCATCTGAAGAGCAGTTGTAATTTTGCATGATCTCCATCCCTCCCCTGGAGATTGGCAACAATGGCTCCCCATATGGGAATGGCTGGCTTGGAGGCTGGAGTCTATGGAATTGTCCCTGTCTGAGGTCCCAGCCCTCCTCAAACCTCACCCTCTCTCCAGGCTCCACCCCTCCCATCTTCAGGAATTGCTCACCTGGAGTTGGCAACCCTATCAGGACCGGGCCCAATGAGTTTTCTCCCAAAGCCCAAAACAGGTGTGGAAAGGGTCTTTTACTGACAGAACCTGGTCGCCTAGCAACAGGCACTGAGGAGAAAGCACAGTTGTCACCTCTGATTAGGGAAATACCTGGAGATTTGTGGGGTGGATCCCATGGAAGGCAGCATTGGGGGGGGGAGGACTCAGCAGGGGATAATACCATAGGGTCCACCCTCCAAAGCAGCCATTTTTTCCAGGGGACCTGATCTCTGTCATCTGGAGATCAATTGTAACAGCAGGAGATCTCCAGGTCCCACCTGGAGACTGCCAACCCTAGGGGAAAGTCAGCAACACAGCAGGGGGTTGAAGACAACGGTTTGATGGTCACTGGCCCACCTCATTAGCCAGCCAGTCATGGTTGAGGCAACAAGGAGAGAGGACCGGTTTAAATGTATTATGACAGGAAAGTGACCAAGATGGCAGTGGGCTGCGGAGGGGGTTATGCTGACAGATGTTGGTTGCCTACCAAAAGCCACTGAGGGGACAGTTAGTCACAGTTAGGCCCACACAGGAGCCAAGAGAAGTGTCTTCCTCAGGAGAGAGTCCAGCTTTCCAGGAGACGCAGCTCGTTTCCTCCAGGCCAGACCCTCCCTGGTGCTGCCGCTGCAGGAAGGTGGGGGAGCCACTGAACAGCGCTGGGCAGCCTTCTCTGCGGTGCAGCCCGCTGAACTATCGCCCTGACAAAGCGCCGCCCTTGCAGCCGAGGGAGAGGGACTGCGAGGGGCAGCAAAGGTGAGTGCTTCCCCAGCTTGCTGCCGCTCACTAGGTCTGCCTCTTTCTCCCCCATGGAGGGGTTGCTGCTCCCTCGGCAGAGCATCCATCCCCTTCGCTGGCTCCCTCCAGACTGAGAGCGAAATGCTGGCTGCCGGCTCTGTGGGCGGGGCCGAGCCAACGCAGTGAGGCAATGCAGCCAGGGGATTGGGAGTCTGCAAGACGGGCAGCTGAGCAGGCCAAAGGCTGGGGAGGCGTGTGGAACGTCTCACATGAAAACTATTTTATATATAAGGAGAGATGACTTGATTGATTTTGATTTATATGGGTGAATGATCTGGTCTGGCACAGAAAATGTATACTTTATAATTAGTATTGCCAACCTCTGGATGGGGCCAGTAGTTCTCCCAGCATTACAACTGATCACTAGACTATAAATTCCCCTGGAGAAAATGGCAACTTTGGAGGGTGGGGGTCTATGACATCACATCCCTGTTGAGCTCCCTCCCCTTCCCAAACTCTGCCCCCAAATCTCTATGAATCTCTCAACCCAGAGTTGGCACCCCAACCTACAATCTTCCTCCAAATATACAGACCCAATTTGGAGAAAATGACATCAGGTCCAAAACTGGCACACAGATATTAAAAAAATAATAATTCTCCTTCTAACCACTGATTCTCACAGTCTGTGGAATCCTTGGAAGATAAAGGTTGGCAAAAGGATGAAAGCTGCATCTTGGGACAAGGATTCATATGTGCTGTTCCTTGTGCCAACTACAAGACAACCCCAAAGCTTCATCCTCCTAGCCTGCAGGGACTGTCTCAGTAAAGCTTCAGCTACCAAGTCAATGAAACCCTCCAACCCACACAAAAATGAATTAGTGCCCATTGTTCAGGTGTGAATATTTGTAACTTTTGCAGTCTTCTCAGAGAGCAAATATTTATGATCTTACCTCATCTTGAGACTTGATCAGTGTTTTAAAGGTCCTATCTCCACTTTCTCCATCTATCATTTTTTTTCGAATCTGCAGTCAAGAGAATTACAAGACTGAAGGTGTAAACACAGCATATTCAATAAATTCCACTGGTATCGAACAGGACCAAGAGAAACATTTATCCAAACTTTATAACCAAGGAAAAATTCTCCACTTCCAATTATTCTTTTTAACAATATCAGTGACAGTTCCTTTACTAGGGTTAGTCAGTAGCCCTTCTAAGGGGGTGCAGACCATGAGAAATGAGGGCCCAGTGCAAAAGACACCCAGTTAACTTTTCTGTATTCTCTGCTCCACAGCTAGACAGGGGATAGACAAAACGTTAGACAGACTGTCTTGAATACTTGTTCTGGGATTCAGGTAGGCATGCTTAGATCATTTACTCACAAATTATGAGCACAAGAAAAATAGTTACATTGAACTTAATCAGTGCTTAATTAAAACCCCTCCCTGTTATAACCATGTTGCTCTTTGCCATGTTCCCCCCCCCTCCAAATATGTAGTATTTTTGTTATAGAACCTATCTTGGATTCCTGATATCCATGGCAACCAAACTATCTCAGAAAAAAGTCATAGACTTGCATTTTGGACAATAACAGATATTCCAAATGTCAGTCTTCTTCTCATGTTTCCAAAAGGAGATGAGGGTCTACCAAAGCCAAAGGTCATCAATCACTGCAGGGCATGCATTCAGTGCTTTGTCCAGTGAATAAATGGCTATAAATTGTACACCTAATCTCTCTTATAAGGGGACCCCTGGTAGCAGGGCTTACAATTATTTCTTTCTTTTCCTCACATTTAATATAAGCACTGCTGGCATGACTCCATTCCAAGGCTTCATTTCAGATTCTGTACTCTCAGATTGGGAGCTGCAGTGGCTCAGTGGTTAAGACACTGAACTGCAGGCTGGAAGGTCGGTAGTTCAGCAGTTCGAGACCTGAGTGCCACATGACGGAGTGAGCTCCCGTCTCTGGTTCCAGCTCCTGCCAACCTAGCAGTTTGAAAGCAAGAAATTGCAAGTAGATAAATAGGTACCACTTCGGTGGGAAGGCAACAGCGTTCCGTGCGCCTCAGCGTCTAGTCATGCCGGCCACATGACCACAGAAACGTCTTAGACCAGCACTGGCTCTTCGGCTTGGAAACGGACATGAGCACTGGCTTTCGAGCAAGGGAAACCTTTACCTTTACTCTCAAATTAAGTTTTCCAGTCCCCATATAACTTGTTGGAGTGGGGAGTTTCCATAGAACAGGAGAGCCTTTTTGAACACAGGACAATTTTAGGGTTTATATTAGATACATGAATGGCCCAGGCAAGCCCGATCTCATCTGATCTTGGAAGCTAAGCAGGTGAAGCCTGATTAGTATTTGGATGGAATACCACCAAGGAACTCCAGGAGTGCAACAAGGCAGGCAATGACAAACCACCTCTGAAGTTCTCTTGCCTTGAAAACCCTACAGGGTTGCCCTAAATCAGCTGTGACTTATGACATTTTCCACCATTTTAAATGCAAAATGCTAGAGAATGGTCACATCTTTGGCAAAGGATATGACAGTGCTTTGTTGGAGTTTAATCAGCCTCCATTCTCTAAACTAGCATACCCTTGGATTATTTGTTCGGTAACACTGTAGGAAACCCTCGGCATGGTGTTAAGCTATCCTGTCCCATTCATGAGGGCTCTGTGACAAAAGGGAATGGACAATATTGTTCCAAATCCAAACCCAAATCCCTTTATTGCCATAAAAGAAAAGCAAAATACCACAAGGCAAGTTTACAGAGAATTTGAATTATAAAATCTGTCAAACATCAGATAGAAGAGCTAATCTTTTGCTCCCTGATTATTATGGCAGCCAAAAGGTACCTTCAACTGAACTTGTAATATGGGGACATCGGTCACATAATAAGAAAGATACTAATTTCGCCTCAGAAAAACCGTGGCAGTTAGACACAATAGGTTTAATTATACAATCCCGCACTTCCCCATAGAAATCACAACGAAATAAAACATGGGCTAAGGTGCATTCCTTTGCATAGACAAAATCTTTCTTGATAGGGAATGTTAGTAAGCCTCCCAGACAGTACTGTTGAAGGTAAAACATTAGGTCTAGCTAACATAAAAGAGCAGTGTAACTGGGGTGAGGTAATCTGGGAGAAGTAGGCAGCAGGTAGTCCATTGTCTGGGAAGATACCAAATACCAAAGAGGAGCAAGTTTTGTGTTCAAGAGAGCAGAAAGTCTGTTTCTCAATATCTAAAATCCTCTGTTTCAAGATTCTGAAATGCATTTCACTTAGCATACAGAGGTTGTGACACTATTGTTACTCTTCCCTGATAGAGCAAAACTTGGTTAGAGCTTTGGTGTCTTTGGAACAAATGATTCACCTAATAATACACTTAATAATAACAGATGACTGTTAAAAGTATGGTACAGCTTACCTGAACTTTAATGTCATTTTCTAGCTCTGCATCCAGAAAATCCAGTGTCACCGGCTCTTGAGATTTTGGATTCTGAAAAAGGTGTCACACCAACAAATAATAAGCATATTTCTTGCTATGTTTCACTCAAGTTTAAATGGCCAAAAATGGTTTGCATGTCATTTGAAATTAAGTAGATTAACAAAAAAGCAATTACCTACCTTCCTTGCTTTTGTTACAACTATATTAAATTTCTCATCAACACTCATTCCTTTCCCCCCCAAATATTTTATTAAGAAAAATATTCAAAAATATTCAAAAATAACACTCTTTTTTTTTTTTCTTTCCTTTAAAGTGAACTTAAAAAAAAGACAATTAGGGTAATTAAGGAGGAAAATAATTGGAGGTTTCTTCCTCAGTCTAAATTGTTTCACCAACATTGACCATGGAAACTGCAAGTGAAATGCCTCAAATGGCATCACAAAGACAATAAGAAGGAGAGAGGAAGGAGGAGAGGAATGGAACTGCTATTGGCTAAGAAGAACTGGGGACAGTGCCTTGTACCAGGGGCCTTGAGTGGAACAGATCCAGTGGATCCAGTTGATAAAATGCAGTTGTGAGTTTAAGGGAGTAATATAGAATTCGTTTAGAAAAAAGCAGGGGGGAAAGAGGAATAAATGAAAGGGAAAAAGATAAATTGTGGAGAAAGAAAAAAAGACAAAGGCAATATATCTATATGCTCACAGTACTTTTGCAATTAGTTTTTGTATACCCATTAGACTTGTATGTATAATATAGGAGGGAATAATTCTGTGTAGGATATAGAACTCTTGTCATATAGTGCCAGTCCAAAGCCTAAACATTGTACCAAAGTGTGATAGGAACTTTCTATATGGACCTCTTTTAGAGAACATAACTAATGAAATTAATTTAGGGTTTTTTGGGTAAGACAACAGCTCAACTAATGTATGGCGCACAGATCTCTCTGTATACGAAATATACCAAACTTGAAACAATTCAGTCAAAATTTTTGAGATCTTTATTTGGAGTTCCAAAATGTGTTCCCAATGCTTGGCTTAGGCTTGAGACTGGCCTAGTTACATTAGAAACCCGGGCTTGGTTCTATGCCATATGTTTTTGGCTCAAACTAAAACTCCTTTCATCAGGGCTGACCCCCTTAATCCTTTCAGATAGTTTTTGCTCAAGCTGGGTTTCTGCAATAGAATACAAACTGGCACTTCTAGGCTTCTCTAGTACTGCCCTTTTACACCTTGGATTTCAAGGAGCCAAAGCTGTTGTCAAACAAAGATTATGGGACACTTCTCTCCAAATGGATAGACCACGAGGAGGCAGGGCTTCATTGTGGCGGACTGGTTGAGTACTCAGATCTCTCTAGGTCTCACCAGCTTTTGGAGTCTTTTTAGGGGATTTTATTGACCTTTCTGGATGTCTCCAGATTTGACAAGGATTTCTCCAGATCCTCGTGAGTAGGAAACTGGAAGCAGAAGACTTAAACTGAGCCCCCCACCTGTGGCAACAGACAGAGTAGGTTTTCAGTGTGACTTGAGCAGGAGCTCCAAAAGACCAGACGTGGGAGCTCACGACTGGAAAGCTACAACACCCCCAACAAGAGCCTCCATACCTCGCCACAATCATCTTAGCGAAGATTCTGTGAGTAATCTCTTCTTCTTTTTACAATCGTCAAACTTGTAAAAGGACACTGGATTGCCCCCATAAATCTTTCCCAGAGGGAAAACTTTTATGACAGGCAGCTCGGCAGAGCTTTGGGAAATTTATGCATCGATGCAGAGGGGCTAAATAAAGCATTGAAATCTTCTATCTGCTATTTGGAAAACATCTTTACAGAAACTTATTTTATGATTAATGAGTTTTTGCTGGAGTTATGGAAAGGAAAACAGACTGGTAGTTTTAAAAATGGCAACGATCCATGTGTTTTTTTCCTGCCTGCATAGTTGAGCATTGATCATTGTTTACAGACTGTCTGCTAGGGAGCGAGATGGCTCTTTTGACTGAAGCTGAAGAGAGAGTCTGCTTGATAGAGGGACAGATATTGCAGCTGTCAGACGACTTTTGGGATTGCTGGGAAAGGCAATTAGTAGAGAAAATTACAATTGCTGTCTCACAGACGCTGGGAGAGATCTTTGCTGAAATCGAGAACGAGGAGATCAAATTACCAGACGGACAAAATTTGCAACCTCAGATGACATCAGATGTTACACAAAATGGAAAGTGATGCGACTTGTCTCAGCACTTGACTTCTACAGTGAAACACTTATCCAGCTATTACTACTACTGTTCAGAGATTGTCTACTATGGGATTGCCAGATACAGCTCAGCGTTTCCAGGGTTGAAGAGACAAGGCGGTTGGTGTTCTCACACAGTTAAGACTTATAAAGACCAAGACACAAAACAGTGACTATTTTGAAGAGGCATTTCCAAAAGAAGCAAGAGAAACTGAAATATTTTAAATAATCTGAAGCAACATTTCATGATTGTTTATATGGATTCAACTGGCTGATGAGACAAAGTTTTACTTAAACTGGAACCTTTAACCTGTTAAGAACTGCTTGTCTACCTTGTGGTTGTTCTTTTGAATAATATTGACATTTGAAATTCAACTGATTTATGAATATAACAATATATCTCGAATATTAATACTGATTTAACTGATTAGTGAAAGTGCTAAATAATGGCTATTTAAGCGGAAACATTTTTTTTTGTATCTGAAATGTCTTAGCTGAAGGATGAGAAAACGATATGGGCAGTTTGAACTTTTTAGAGAGGAATTGCAGGGAAAATATAATTAATGGGCTCCTTATCTAGAGATTCTGTAACGATTTAGTTTTTTTATTTTTTAGAGAGAGAAGTATAAGATGGAAATTTGATTTTCTTGGCATTGTTAGTGAGGGAGAAGAGATTGTTGAGAAAATATAACCTACTATGTTTAGGCTTGAAAGCTAACTGTATTGGGAATAGATTTTGGGTTTAAAGGTATATGTAATGAAATACAACCAAAATAAGGGGGAAAATGGTAATTTGCTTGTAAACATGATGATGTGAGTGAGATTTTTGGCTAGATATTTTTAAATGTATTGCTCTTTTCTTTTTGTAACATTTAAAAATCTAATAAACTTTGCCCACACGTGGGCAATTAAAAAACAAAACAAAACAAATGGACAGAGCACGAGTCTCACACTTTTTAGAGGTGAGAAATAAAAACCTAAAGTTTGCTCCACTCAGTTACCTTTATTCGTTAGAACTCCCAAAGCACCGCAGAACTTTCACTTTAGCACGATTAAATGTTCTCCCATATGCCCTCCTGCAAGGGAGATATGCTCGTACCCCATACACAAGCCGACTTTGTCGTAATTCTGGACAGGTCGAGACAATTGAGCAGATTCTTTTATCTTGTCAATTCTATAACGAGATTCATTCTAAATATATTACGCCAATCGTTGCCTACCCAGGCAGGTCTAATCAGTTTTATTCTACTCTTCTTTTAGCTGATATTTGTAATGAAACTACTGCTAAGGTAGCAAGATTTTGTGCTATGGCTATTCTAACCAGACAGAAGACTATTAATTCTTAGGAAAGTTTAAAATCCACGTTGTCTTAACTAAATTTTTATCTGTATCAACCGTCTGGCTGTATTTTTGCTGTTAACTATATGTAACATTTTAAGGTATTTGCTGATCTTTGATCGTAATAAATCAAATTGAATTGATTGAACGGAATTGAAATTGATTTACTTCATTCATATCCTGCCTTTCTCCCCAGTGGGGACTTAAAGCAACTTACATGATTACCATGTCCTCCATTTTTATCCTCACAACAACCTTGTGAGGTACGTTAGGCTGAAAGAGTCTTACTAGCCCAAGGTCACCAAGCAAGCTTCCACAGCATACTGGGGATTTGAACTAGGGTTCCCAGACCTCCACTGGGGGAACTCCCATATGGTAACCATTGCTTACTAACAGCTCAGTGTGTGGTAACAACTACGACATGGAGAAATTTAAAATGGGTATCAACTGACAGCAGTAGTATAAGTTGTGCCCCTTTCAGCGGTAAATATATGGGTATTTTCTAAAATACTGTAAGATGCAATTTTGCATGTTTTTAAAATATTTTAAATTGATTTCAGGGAATGTTCACAATTGTGAAAATATTTGATTCAAGAGCCCATTTTGGGCATATTCATCTGAATAATTAGCTTCATTTTGTGACTCAGGCAGAAATAGATATAGCCATTTTTAGCAGAAGATGTATGAAGAAGAGATGGAGCTACCTGGTATCTTTAATAGTTCTCCTAGTCAGGTGAACCACAGATAGAGGTAGAATATGGTAGCTTATTAAGACTGGCTTGTTATATTCCTCTGGATCAGGTTCACAAGTTACTGGATAAAAGGTGATTTCATTTTCTGTCTCTTTTGAAATCAAAGACTGACTTTAAAAAATGAAAAAGGAAATTTTACTCAAGGTACTTTTTAGACTGATGAAGTGAAGAACATTGGTAGCATAAATACAAATTGCTTGCCTATATAATTTTATGTATTTCAGATGCCTAAGGATCTTATTCAGCTAGACAAATAAGTCAACTTCAGTGGAAAAAAATCAACAGATAAAAAAAACTTGAAATGGAACACAAAATGAAAAGAAACACACCAAAACATAATGATTTTACCTTTTCATATTAAAAATGAACAATATAGCTCTAAAATAAAAAGCAAAGTAATTCAAAGAATCCATTTCTTACATGCAAAGGAATGCTATTAGAAGGACCAAACCCTGGCAGCATGCAAGAAGACATTGATGTGGTAGAAGCAGCATGGCAGTCCATGTCCCATTCCAATAAACAAAGCAACAATGCAAAAGAAAAGAAAATGATAAAGAAGCCATAATATTAAATCAATCAACATTGTGTGTCTAATTAAGGAGTCTCAAAGCTTAGGTAATCAGTGAATGCAACTTAAAAGAACATAAATGCACAAAATGATCTTATTTAGAGGAAAAATCCTTGGATTTTTTTTTTAAACCCTTGCCCTATCGTGACATTGCCTACGTATACAATCTTCTGGAAAGTTCTTTTACCTAACTCTCTTGTGTCTTCCCTGTTTAGTTATGATTAGGGTCTAGGCAAAAATAACCAAAATAATTGTGATGACTTTTTAAACTGCAAATTTTGGGGTAGAGATAGGGTCGACAACTGCCCACTGGGATGATTTGGGGGGGTGGGGACAGGCATGCCAGCATCATGCCAGTTTGCAACATCACTTCCAATCCTGTTAAGACAGGAAATTTTGGGCAAATCCTGGAGCGTCACCCCCAGCATCACAACATCACTTCTGGTTTTCATTGGAAGTGATGTCATGTCCCAGAGTGATGCTGGTGCCCCCCCCCACTCTCACTTGCCAGACTTTGAAATGCTAAAGTGGGAGACCTGCCCCCCCAAGTAGAGGCATTTGCTTTGTTTTCCATGCAGAAATGATTGAATTTATCATATTTTAAGCACTACATGAATTAATAAAAATGATAATTTATGGGAGAGGTTAATGAATGAAATAACAATCGGTGGGATCTCTTGGACAAATCCCATTCACTTCAGTGTGGCTTCAAAGGAGAACTTCCTGATGGAATGCATCTCTGGGCTCCATGTGCAATAAAGAGCACCATTCCTTCCTTAGGGCCTCTTAGGGCATCTTTTGTCAAATGTGAACATAAAGTTTCCATAATTCACACAACCTTTGTTAAAGTAGATAGTATATATTTTCATGACCTTTAATTATTCTCAGCTATTCTAGGTATAGAGTATTTATCAGAAATCTAGAGAATCAAGTAAGTCACATGATTGTGCTCATGACACTTGCACATCCTGAGTCCTAGTCATGCATCCTAACCTAAAAAACATGACCTTGTATCCAACAAGATCTACTAGCAAAGCGGAGCAGGACTTCCCTGTTTTCCAACTACGCAACAACTGTCTGACTCTCCTGAAATTTTGTTCCGGGGAGGATGTCAATGGATCCCCATGAATAACATGAGGGCAAATTGGGAGCCTGAAGTGACTGGGGACAACTGGCAGAAATTACCAGCACCTCCAATGACAAAAACTCTCCTCCCAATCAGTGTTCCCTCTAAGTTGAGTTAGTGTGAGCTAGCTCACAGTTTTTTAGCCTCCGGCTCACACATTTTTGTCTTAGCTCAGGAAGGATGGCTCCAGAACAAACTAATTTATGCAGCAGCCAAATTGCCGGCTCACAAGTTTAATGCCAGCAGCTCACAAAGTTGAATTTTTGCTCACAAGACTCCAAAGCTTAGAAGGTCGGACCAGAACCAACAGGTTCAAATTATTATTTTTTAAAATTTATTTTATATTTATACCCCATCCTCCCTGCAAGCGAGGTATATTTATACCCCACCCTCCCCGCAAATCAAAAGACTTTTCACTTAAACATTAGGAAGAACTTCCTGAGAGAGCGGTTCCTCAGTGCAAAAGGTTTCCTCGGAGGTGATGGGCTCTCCTTTGCTGCTGATTCTGTAAACTTAGGCAGATCATGAGAGGGAGGGCAGGAAGGGTGGCATCAGTGCTTAGTTCTTGTGTCCCTTTCTTACACACCCAGGAAAATGCTGATCACTACTCTGCGGTAAGGAAGCTATTTTTCTCCAGGCCAGTTTGACCAGCAATCCTGGAGGTTTTTTTGCCACGTTCACAGCATGGAGCAAGGGTCATTGGGTGTGTGTGGGGGGGGGGGAGGTATTTGTGAATTTCCTGCATTGTGGAGGGGGTTGGACTAGATGACCCTGGAGGTCCCTTCAAACTCTATGATTCTAAGTGATGGGGTTCTGCCAAGCTTTAGACTCCATTAACTGCTTCCTTCCAGTTTGTTAGGGTGTCTCTATATCAAAACTTTGTACAGCTTGTGTTTCTCTGCATCCTATTGAACATGTACAAAACACGTCTGAATAACTCAGGTTACAACTGCCAAGAAACTAATCACAGAAGCAAGCAGTAAAGAGAAAGCATGCAAGCAAGTTAATGCAGACTGTCTTTTAGCATAGCTACGGCAAACAAAGGCATATTATTTTAGCTGGCAAAGTAAGAATGAAATACAGAAGGAGAGAAAGAACTGGTGCAGCAACACAGAAATGGGATCCTTAAAGGGCCACTGAGACTTCTTTTGGGGAAAAGTAGTTTGACCAAAAAAAGGCTGGTGTCTTCATCTGCCTTTGTTTTAAGCTGTATATATGGAGAGCTCCCTCTTTCCAGGCTGACTTTGCAGCTTAAAATAAGCACCACTTTCTGACTTCCATATGGAAAACAGTAAACATTACCAACATTACACAAGGCTGCTAATTTGTAGCACCTATGCTACAATGAAGCCATCAGTCATTATGCAGGGCTTCAAAGTTCAGCAGAGTACATCTACGAAGAGTAATCTGCTTTTCTCCCTCCAAAACTGGAAATCTTTTGAGGCTAAAACACAACTTTAATCCTCAGTTATTAGCAACACATCATCACTTAAAGCAACATCTTTCACAACCATCCACACTAATTTTGCAAGCTTCATGCTTTGGAGGCTGTCTGAAAAGAAAACAGCTGGGTTAGGGTTTTCCAGGAAACTAAATCAAAGCTCTCTAATCTCAGCTGCAGCACTATGCATTTTTTTACACACTAACAAGTCACCTCCATCCATAGTTACCTGGACATGGGGTCTCCTTTTTCTCAAATTAATTTTGGGTATGCCCACACCAATGTGCTAAAGTAACAAAACATTAATGATTCACATTTTCACACTGTAATTTGTGGTCTGTGATTATATTTGTGGTCAGTGATTATAACCCAAGAGCAATATCCACCTGTGGACTGTTGACAAGTAGTGCTGGCCTTCTAAGATATACCTTGACCATGTACACATTTTTCTCAGATGAATAACAGTACCATGTAGTACTGTAGCGATGGCCACAGGAATTAACTGCTTTAAAAGAGAATTAGATTCATGGAGGCCAAGTCTATCAATGGCTACTAGCCACAGTGACTGAGGGGAACCTCCACATTTAGAGGCACTAAACCTCTGTATCTCAGAGACAGGAGGCAATGTCAGGGGAAGGCCTTGGCCTCTAAATCCTGTTGTTGGCCCTCCAGAGGAACTGGCTGGCCACTGTGTGAGACAGAATGCTGGACTAGGTGGATCATTGGTCTGATCCAGCAGGGCTCTTTTTATGTTCTTGACACAGTTGTTGAGGGCTGTACTGCTTCAAACCTTAAGTAGGAGGGTCACATTTCCTCCCTCCCTCCCTTTTTTTCTCCCCCAGGTAAAAATTCCAGGCATATGAGAATTTAGTACATCAGGGGGGAAGGTTCCAGGTTAGCCCTCTGCATGCTGAACTTGTTTTTCACTTACTGGAGACAATTAATAGAAATAAATTTCCCTTCTCTAACACAATCTGACACAGCCCACCCCATTCTGCTGCCTCAGTGCTCTGCTGCTGGTAGGCATGAGACCGAAACAGGGGGTTATGTTATATTCTGACATGTAATAGCAGCCTTCACCGGGCAGTAACAGGAGTAAGTGGATAGTGTCACTTTTATTCTCACACTATATGAGAACAAAAAGAAAGGCACATGGCTTTACAACCAGGAAATATCTGATAGGGATTCCTTAACCTGTACTTCTCTAGATTCAAATAGATTGTAGTGATTTGACTGATCCTATCCCTCCACATTGTAAAGGATTATGAAGAGTGTTCTAGGGTTCACAGGCAGACCATGCTAAGCAGTGATCATGTGTTTTGAATAATGTGTTTTGGACCTCACCGTTGCCCTGTGCAAACTGATCATGTCCAACAGATCCCTGTAATTGTAAATTGCAGAGGAAATTTGGTATTGGACTAGATAAATTTCAAGAAAAATATATTTGCCAGTACAGTGCTTTTAATTGACAAGACCCTGGTAAGCTTCAACAGAATGGTATGATTTATACCAAATCTCCCCACATACTATGAAGACAGAAGTGCATGGCAGAAGTCCCCATTGCTGTGCCCATGGGTACTATGGCACTTGCCAAAACCTTTTCTGGCACCTGCCAAGTGTTTTTAGAAAGTGGGTTGGGCCAGGTGGGCTTTTGGTCAGCAGGGCTTCTGATTGGCCACTGGACTACTGACTGGCTGTTTCCACCACCTGCGTCAGAATTTCAAAGGTGCCCAGATGTTCAAAAGGTTGAGGACCCTGATGTATGAATTGGGTTCAAGGAACATTGTTTAATAAGTACCAATGTTTTGCTTGGTACATATAACCTGTTGCACTGTTTTCCTGTCCATTCTTCAAGGAACTCAGGATAGCATACACGGTCTTCCTCTACTCCAGTGTTTGAAGACAGACTGGGAGAGAGAGAAACTGTCCCAAGGTTACCCAGTGAGCATCATGGCTGAACAGGAATTTGAACCTGGGTCTTCAATAACCTAATCCGACACTTTAACCACTGCACTGCATGTCCAGTCATGTTTCTTTAACTATTTTTTCCCCTGTGACAAACTGGAGTAAAAATAATTTATGAACTATAAAATTCTGCATACCTTTGGTTGAAGATTTGGATGAAGCAACACATAGCCATTGGGGTCAATTGCAAAGTAATAACCATTTGGACACAACTGAGAAGAGAAAAAGGCAATAATATGTTATATTGCAACACTAATGGTATTAAATGAAGATTTTAAAAAAACTTCAATAATTCTGACCAGATGGAGAATGCTCTGTAATAAATATAGGCTGAAGCATCTGTTACACAACAATGTTAACATGAAGCTAATGTGCAAAATTTTTCACTTTTTGATTTCTATTTTGGAAAATGGTAAGCAGTCCTGGAGACTAACCAGCTAACTTTTGACCCAGTATGCACTGTGTACACAATGTGTTCAAGTTCTTTACTTATAAGATAAACATAAGTTCACTTAAGGAATAGTAAAAATTGTCTAAGTATCTACAGCACAATAAAATAATGCTACCAGGGCACCACAGGGGTGACTAGTTACCCTGCGGGCTTCTTTTAAAGCTTGTAGAACACAGCCATTGCCTAGAAGTTGGCTACAGCTGACCAAGCAATTCAGACAAATCCCTGGAAGAATTGCTTTATGTGAAAGTAATCATCTCCAGAAAACACTGCTGCAGAAAAAAGAAAAGTCAGTGAAATTGTAGGGTGAGAGAAGGCAAGTAATCTTTCAACTTCCAGCCAGAGAGACATGAGATAGACTGGAAGAGAGTTCTAGTCTGAGCAAAACTCCGGTTTCAGGAAAGTTTAAAATAGGCAATCTGGCAAAAGAAGAAGAGACTTACTGTAAACCGCGGGGTCAGCTTCTTAATTTCTTCGAGTGACACATCCACTCCCATTACGCCAAGTATCAACTGGTTCTGGCATAGGATTTTTGTAAAGGTTAGTTTCCAGGTAGTAAAGAGGAGCAGTGTAACAATAAGAACATTCTGCAGTTAATAACAAAGCTGTGTGAGGGGAAATGGGGTGATTCTAATTGGGGACCACCCACGACCAGCACACTGCTGGGACTGGCCATGCCCTGCAATCACCTTCCCGGCAGAGTGGGTGAAAAGGGATTGCTCAAAGCCCAGTAAGGGTTGCCCAAGCACTGCAATCATCACCTTGCCCAGGGGCAGGGCAGTGGGCTGGAACAGCTGTGAGCTTTTTTGCGGACAAAGTCTTGTTGCTCCACCATGATCTGTCTGCCACTGTTGATGCAGTAAGACAACTAGAGGCCCCTTGGCTGTCTTTGAATTCAGAAATGGACAACTTCACCCGACTCACTTGGGCTGATGTCGACAGGATCGTGGGTGCTGTTAGGCCAACCACATGCCACTCTTGGACCCGTGCTCATTGTGGCTGGTAAAGGCTGGCGGGACCCCCTGATGGACATTATCAACTTGTCCCTCAGCTCTGGTGGTTACCCGGAGAGGTTAAAAGAGGCTGTGGTCATATTGTTCTTGAAAAAGCCATACTTAGATTCACTGGATCTTACCAATTACCACCCAGTCTTGAATCTTTCATTTCTGGGCAAGGTGACTGAGAGAGCAGCAGCGGAGCAGCTCCAGAGTTTCCTGGATGACACATTGGCCCTGGAACGATTCCAACCCAGCTTCCAACCAGACCATGGGATGGAGACAGCTTTGGTCACCCTCACAGATGATCTCTGCAGATAGCTGGATTGAGGCGGGTTGGTGCTGTTGTTGTTATTAGGTCTAACAGCAGCATTCGACATGGTTGACTACGACCTGCTGCTCCACCACCTCGCCAACGTAAGAGTCTGGGGGATAGCCTTGAAGTGGATTACCTCTTTCTTCCAGGGTTGGGGACAGAGGGTGGCACTAGGGGAGAGGATATCACCCCGACAGCCCCTGGTGCATGGGGTTCCCCAAGGGAAAATCCTCTCCGCTATGTTGAGAAGAAGGAGAAGGAGAAGAGGAGGAGGAGATTGGATTTATACCCCACCCTTCACTTGGAGTCTCAGAGCAGCTTACAAACTCGTTTCCCTTCCCCTCCCCACAACAGACACCCTGTGAGATAGGTGGGGCCGAGAGAACTCTTTCCAGAGCTGTCCTTGAGAGAACAGCTCTGACAAAACTATGGCTTGCCCAAGGTCATCCAGCAGCTGCAAGTGGAGGAGTGGGGAATCAAACCTGGTTCTCCCAGATTAGAGTCCGCACACTAAACTGTTGTATATCGATATGTGCTCCTCACCCAGCTGGTGCAGAGTTTTGGGCTGGGTTGTCACCAGTATGCTGATGACATTCATCTATATCTGTAGATGAGCTGATGGGCTGGATGCCATGGTTGGATGGTTGAAGCAGAGCTGTCTGAGACTGAATCCTTCGAAGACGGAGGACCTGTGGTGGTGGTGGTGGTGGTCTGAGATTGGGGTATCAACTCCCGGCTCTTGATGGTGTGCTTTTAACACAGACTTCAACTGTCAAGAGTCTGGGTGTGATTCTGGATGCCTCCCTATCTGTGGAGGCCCAGATCACAAAGGTTGCCAGACTGGCATTTTTACAACCGCACCAAGTCAGGTAACTGGCCCCCTACCTCTCCTGTTGCAGCCAATCCACAGTGATCCATGCAATGGTCACCTCTGGACTGGATTACTGTAACTCGCTCAACAAGGGGCTACCCTTGAAGATGACCTGGAAATTATAGCTTGTCCAAAATGTAGTGGCACAGGTACTTACGGGCAGCCCAACAACAGCACATATCCAGCCGGTGCTTCACCAGCTTCATTAGCTCCAAGTTGAGTACCGGATCCACTTCAAGGTTCTGGTTTTGACTTTGTACCTGTGGGACTGCCTCAGTATATCCCTGGATCCGTGCTCCTCCTGGCTTATTAAAACAGGCCATGAGGGGTTTTGAGGTGCACTGTGGGAGATTTTCAATAAGTCCCTCGTTGAGGGACGGTCCCCCGGAGCACTCAAGGAAGCAACGGCCCACCTTCTCTTGAAAAAAACATCTTTGGACCTGGCCAAATTGGCCAACTATCGGCCAGTTTCCAACTTGCCCTATTTGGGCAAACTTATCGAGAGGGCGGTGGCGTCACAGCTACAGGGCTATCTGGATGAGGCTTCCATCCTCGATCCCTTCCAGTCCGGCTTTTGCCCGGGCCATGGGACAGAGACGGTGCTGGTCGCTCTGACAGATGATCGCCGTAGGCATCTGGATCGAGGTGGCATGGCGGCACTGGTGTTGTTAGATCTGTCAGCTGCGTTCAACACGGTCAACCACCAGTTGCTGGCCCACCGCCTCGCTGGCGTGGGGATTCAGGGGCTTGCTCTTCAATGGTTCGCGTCTTTTCTTCAAGGTCAGGGACAGAGGGTGGTGATTGGGGATCAGCGGTCCCGAAGGCACCCCCTTGATTGTGGGGTGCCCCAGGGAGCTGTGTTGTCCCCTATTTTTTTCAACATCTATATGCGCCCCCTCGCCCAGATTGCCTGGAGGTGTGGGCTTGGGTGTCATCAATATGCTGATGATACCCAGCTCTATCTGATGTTAGGCAGCCAGTCAGACTCCAGTCCCGATGACCTTTATTGGGCATTACAAGCTGTGGCTGGTTGGCTCAGACTGAGTCGGTTGAAATTAAACCCGGCAGAGACAGAGGTCCTGGGCCTGAGTCGGACCGGTCTGGGGTTGGGGCTCCCTCTCCTGGTCTTCGATGGGGTGCCTTTGGTGCCTGCACGGGAGGTTAGGAGTTTGGGTGTGCTCCTGGACTCCTCGTTAATGATCTCAAAAAACAAGGATCTAGAAGACGCGGGGGAAATCACGGGATGCTGCAGGTCAAAATGTGGCCACACAGCAAGTAGTGGGAAATTGACTAATACAATCGGGGGAAAGGGAAGAGCGAGGGTGGCACAGCTGCTTGTGGGAAATCGGTCCAGGTGTGTTGCGAGGATCACAGGTCAACTTGCTCACCCATTAAATCATGCTGGAGTGCCAAAATCATAATGACTTAACAGGGCTTCAATGGGACTACTTTATTTCTTTCCACTGTTAAGCATCAGCTTACCTGAGTTCCACTTTGATCTTTTGTCAAATTGAAGACAGGCAGAGTTCCAGAAATGACTAGACCAAGTTCCTAGAAAATGATCATAAGGACATTTGTTCCTATTATGAGCCAAAATGGGGGGAAGGAATCAAAGAAAAATTACTAAAATGTAGTTAAAAGGTCAGATCAAAAGAAGAGGGTTTTGTTTTAATAACATGTGGCTGCTTTTGAACAAACATCATATAGAATGCCCTACAAGAATGCAGACTCCTAATGCTCTACTGCAAACAACGCAACTGCAAAGAGGCAATGGAGCCACAAGTTATTATTGCTTGCCAGTGGAGTGTACTTACAGAAATCTAGTCAGGAAACTATCTGTATTTTACAATGGAGTAAGGCCTGTTGCAATGAACATAAATTAGAACTGCCTCCGCAGCCAATCATTAGGGTTGCCAGCCTCCAGGTGGGGCCTGGAGGTCTCCTGCTTTTGCAACTGACCTCCAGCTGACAGAGATCAGTTCCCCTGGAGAAAATGGCTGCTTTGAGGGTGGATTCTATGGCACTGTACCATGCTGAGGCCCCTCCCCTCCCCTCCCCAAACCCCACCCTATCCTGGATCCACCCCCAAAGTCTCCTCGTATTTTCCAACCCAGACCTGGCAACCCTACCAATCATCATCATGGCCATTAGATTGATGACTTTGCCTAATACTAATTAAACAAGCAACATACTATAGCTCAGGGGTCCCCAACCCTTTTGAGCCCAAGGGCACCTTTGGGATTCTGATACAGCATGGTGGGCACAGCCACAAAATAACTGCCACAAACAGGCCACTGCAGGAGGCAGTTCCAGGCACAAAATGGCTGTCGCAGCTTCCCTTCAATCACACAGTGCTTGTGCTTGTGCTGTGATGACCAAAGGAAATTTTTTTAAAAGGAACATTTAAAAAAATCTGCACAACCAATCAAATCTTCAATGGCCAATCAGAAGCCTTCCTGGTCAAAAGCCCCACCTGTCGTTACCCACTTTCTGAAAACACTTGGCAGGTGCCAGGAAAGGTTTTGGAGGGCACCATGGAACCCAGGAGCACCACACTGGGGACTCGTGCTTTAGCTGAAGTCATACACTAGATGTGGGATGGGGCAGGCAAGACCATGATAATATCACCTGGAAGTGAGGTCACCGCACCAGGCACATCATGCGAGGGACACTCTAGCATTTGGCCAAAAACTCTATGGTCGCCATAGAGTTTTTAGCCAAATGCCAGAGCATTCCCCGCATGACATGCCCGGTGCGATGATGTGCCCTCCGTGTGATGTTATCGCATCAGGCCCGTTGGGTGCGATGGGGCTCTTTGGGGGCAATCCTACCTAGGACCCTGCTTTCCTTCCATGACATCACTGCAAGCACAGTGGGATTGGAATGGTTATCTCAAACTACCTGAACTCTGAGCCATGTCACTCCTTTTCTTCCCTGATAATTTAGTTGGCATCAGCGGTGGTCTCACTGGAGAGGTCTTGTAAAAAGAGGCCTTTTCTCCTCCTTGGAGGGAGTTTCAGCTACATTCTGATGTCTTTTATGCTCTTACTGCAGCATTCAAAGCAACAGGAAGAGAAGAAGGCCTTGCAGAAAGGGCTTGAGAATGAACTGTCATTATCACTGCTGCCATGTAACTGAAAAAGGAAAGGCATAGCTGCACTGTTGGTGAGTGCTGGCACCCAGGTACGGTTTTCACAAGCCATATTTGAACTTTAGGAGGATTTGATCTTACTTTCTAAAAAATTTGGGAGTGGCCTGTTTTTATGAACTGGAGCTCTCCCCAGTAACAACCTGTACCCTACCCTGCCATAATGCAACTGCAGTGGATCCTTAGAACTGAAATAAGATTCATTTCTGAGGGTTTTTTTTTAATTTTTTGCCTTGGACATAATCATACAATTTATTTTCTTGTTAATGCCCAGGGAAAATTAGAGAAACGTTCTAGTTGAAATTCATTAAAATAGGAAACAATGCAATGGTTATGTGTTACGATAAGGTCAGTCCATAACCCTTCTCCTCTCCTAGTACATTCCTGCATTAGTGCTGACATTTAAGAACAGGATGTGTAGGAAGATATAAACTTTCTCCATGACATTTCCAGTAAGTACCTCATCAGCAACTAAGGAAGATTGGTCAATGAACTTCTGAGCACTAGAATCCTAATGAAACAAAAAAACTGACCCATGTTGACATATACAGCTCGGAAGGGACTGATTACATTCTTCCTCTTCCCCCCCCCCCCCAAAGAGACATTGTACATTAATCTTTGCAAGAAGAGGTGGAATTTCAAATGGTCATGTGGACATGACCTGGAGATCATACTCTATGGCATCTAATGAAGCATGACTAGTTCGACTTTAATTGGCAAAGCTTTTGACAGGAACAGGTGATTGCTGTTTCCTGTCCCAATCTCTACTTTCCACATTTCCATTGATAAGCTGAGCAGACAGGAAGCTGTTCAGTTGTGCTCCTTTGACAACTGCAGGCTGAAAATTCTTGACCCAACCTTCAATCTTATTCAGATGTCAGATGAAAATGTGTTTGTGGTAGACCCATGGAGGACTGAAGATTTTCATGGTGGCCACATTCACACAACACAACAAACCTCTGCTTGGCTCATGAAAGACACAAATGCAGCTTGTTCTCACATTCCTGTCCTTCTTTCCCATTCACTGAGCAGGACTGAAATATTTATGGCCTGGAAAGCCTTGATTTAAACTTCAGTCATGGTGATGTCTGCATCCAGAAATCTGGGCAAGTTGGAGCTTTGTTTCTTCCACTCAAATCAGAGTTCTAATCAGATTAAGCGGTTTAGAGCAGAGTTGTATCCTCCTACATCCCTTGACCTCAGTGGGTATAGAAGGACTGACATAGTGCTTGGAGGCAACATCAGGGGAAGGCCGTGGTTGCTGTGCTATGCTTGTTGGCCTTTTTGAATAAATGATTGGCGCCTATGTGAGACAGGATGCTGGACTAGGGCTCCGGTCACATGGGCAGGAAAATGCGGGGGGGGAAGCGTAGCTGTTAGCCCCGGGGCAAAATAACGTGCGGTTACGCGAGCAGACATCTCCTGGAGGTCCCGTAAAGGTCCCGTGTATAGGGGGGAGGTGCCGATCACACGACCATGTGGCAATGAAGTGGCTGAAACGGACTACATGTCCCAGAAGGGCACTTGGTGGGGGGAGAAGGGAGAAAGGGACGTGGCCAAGGGGTGGGGAAGAGGGAGCTTGAGTCCTGACAATGAAACTGAAAGGCAGGTCCCCTGGAGGGGGGGGGGCGCCGCTCTGGGCGACTCTGAGCTGCCTTCTGTGCAGCTCCTGGGGACGGTTGGACAAGCAGTTGCCTCTTCGCCTTCCTCCAGGACAAACGGTTTTTTCCCCTGTACATTGAAGTATGCGCATGCTCCGTTGGCTGCTTGTGCGCATCCATGGAGACTTGGGGGGGGAAGCTTTTTGTGAGGGGACATGGGCAGGCGCCGGATGCCACTGGAAACGTGATCAGACGCCCACCCTTGCCCTGCGGTTTCCAGAAACTAGTACCTTCGAGGTACTAGTTTTTTGCTGCGCGTATTCGGCAGGAAGCCTCGGGTGACCCACGGGAGCGCTACACTTCCCAGATGTGCCGGTGAGATCGCGCCTGGAAACTCCGCCTATCTTCCGTCTCTGTAGCGTGGCTAATGTTCCGTGTGACCGCAGCCTAGATGGGCCACTGGTCTGATCCAGCAGGGCTCTTATGTTCACTGTTTGGTCCCTGCAATAATGGCTCAAAGCCATTCACTTTCCTTCTTACATTACTGCATCTGACCTGTATTTTCTGCCTGTAATCCTTTGCATTTATCTTTGGTCACTTAAATTATGTTGCCATCTGCTTTTCTATCAGAGTCTCTGAGAACCTTCAAAATGTTCACCCTGTCCTCTAAAATATTTGCAGTCCCTCTCAGTTTTGACTCTGCCATATGCAGCAGGAGAATTATTTTATTCACTGCTCATTTACACATTGTTAATTCACTCAAACATTATTTTACATTAAACACCTCCTTTTACTGTGTTATGCCAGCATACAATCATACCAGTGCATCTAAATAGACATTGGTCCACTGGACTTGCTTGGCTTTTTCCCCAGCCAAAACCATTGGTCTCCCCAAAACATCCAAGTACTCCTGCCAAAAGAAAGAAAAAAAGTCAGTTGATCAGTAATAACGAAAAAGCTTTCTTATAAAGGCCAGCTGTCTATAATGTTCCGCAAACATCATAATTCTTGTTTGCCTAGGGCTTTGTGAAGTGTTTTCAATTCAGTATCTTTCTAAATCTATTCTACTCCCTCAGCCACTCACAGAAACCCTCAACACTGGAACATATCTGCAGTCCACATTTACAAGGATTGGTGGATTGGGCCACTCATCCAGCTCTTCCCATCAACCAGGCAACCCTATGGGGTGGAATTCTAAAGACTACCTTAGTAATGGAAAAGGAACTTGCAGATGTCTATCGCAGGGTATGGGAATAAAGATGGAGCATGGTTATTCAATCAGGCATTGAATAATAGCCTGAGCCAAAGCATCTGATGAAGAAAGTGAAACAGCCAAGTGTCAGGGGGCCCGCCCCTCCACTCAACTGTTTTTCCAGCTTCCTTGTGCAGTCCCTTTAAAGAGACTGGACAACAAAGGGAAAAAGCTGAGCGGCTGGGACCATCTCCCCACCACTCAGCTGTTTTTCAGGGTTTCTTGTGCAGACCCTTTAAAGAGACTACACAAGAAAGCAAAACAGCTGTTTTTTGGGCTTTCTTGTGCACTCTCTTTAAAGGGACTGCACAAGAAAAGGAACAGCTGAGTGGCTTGGAACAACTCCCCACCACTCAGCTGTTTTGCGGGCTTTCTTGTGCAGTCCCTTTCAAAGAAGTTTATAGGACCATGAACCGGTTCGGTTCATGAACAACCCTCCTGGTTCGGTTCATGGTTTGGCCATGAACCACGAACCAACACGAACCACATTTTTCCTGTCCATTCTCATCCCTACTACAAACTCTCACGGCTACCCATCCCAAACCACCTGAAATGAAATACCACCTTTCTGGGATCATAAAATCATAGATTTGGAAGGGACCTTTAGGGTCATATAATCTAACCTCATGCACAATGCAGGAAATTCACAACTACCTCCCCCCCACACCCAGTGACTTCTGCTCCATGCCCAGAAGATGGCAAAAAAATCCAAACCCTCCAGGATCCCTGGGCAAACTGGCCTAGAGAAAATTGATCCAGTAGAGCTCTTCTTGCTGTGTGTAACGTACTCATCTGACAACACTTTTTATCTCAGCTTGGACCCTGCCAAAGAATAACTGAAGAACAATGCCCTGACTTTCATTCAAAGTGTTGCTTTTTTCTTTACCACTTGCTGCAAACATACCTGTGTGTTGATTCTAATAGCACCAATAGAAGGAATTTCATAATAGTAACCTGAAATATAAAATAGAATAGAATTTGAAGCTTCAGATTCTACTCCCTAAAAGATGAACACTCAAAACAGGCTAACACTAAAGCTGTGTGGGCGGAGCCAATGGTGCTGAACTTTCCTATCCCATCATTACTTGCCTGGGAAAAGGGAAAGAACTGCATGGAAATAAAGAACTCCATGGAAATGAACTTAGTGATTAGTTTGCCCATGTCATAGGCGTAGTGTCAATAGCACATGGCTGTGCCCTTGCATTACCAAGTTCATAGCATATACCACCAATCACAGCTAGCCTTAACCATCTTATTGTGTAACTTTTTTTTTTGGCTACTGAGAGCAGGGCCACCAATGCCTAGCAGGCACATCATGCAGAGACTGCTGGATTTCCCAATCAAATAGGACACTAGGGGACATGAATTACTTGAGTATTTCTATCTCTATGGTCATTTCCACCTTGTAACCAAACATGGCACTGAACCACAGACTCATCTCTCATTGCTAATAGCCAAACCACTGGCACTTTGTCCCAAGAAATTACACACTGCTGCAATGCATCAAAGTGCTTTCTGGAGCACCACCAACTGAAGCAGTCTCCCCAGTGCCCGTGGGTCCAGCATTCACAGTCATTCCAGGGTTGTGATTCTGCCACATGGAAGGAACTCCTATAAGCCTAATAGTACATATGGATTAAACTTTAACTGACTCAGATTTTGAAGTACAGAGAGGGCTCTAATCAGTCACGGAATTAAAATTAGCTAGCATCCTGATATCCTGATACCCAGCACTTCTTTACATTTGTTCCTGAAAAGGAGGAGTATCCTCAGTGCCATTAATCTACAGCACTAAGACAGAGGAACACAAACATCCAATACCTTTATTTTGACAGGCCATCCATTGTATGGGTCCCTTGTCATAATTATGTTGACCAACGGAAAATGTAAAGACACGGACCTAGAGAAAGTTTTAAAAGATAGATGAATACACTTCCCCAATAAATGCAGATCTCTCCGAAATAGGATACTGCCCCCACAATAGAGCAAGATAGATTTTCTGAAACAATATATATTGTTTCAGAAAAAAATTGTGCCATGTGGCTGTGAACATTCACTGTGGACAATTAAAATTTACTTGGCAAATTCTGCCAACAGACTTAACAATGACAGTAAGCACTGAATTTTAAATAAGAGTTGCTGTTTGCAAAGATTTTTCTTAATGGCAAGAAAGTACTAGTCCCTTAGTGATGGCTCTAAAAAAAACGAAAGTGCTCATCCATTCCAAGCGAAAGGAACACTGAACTAGAATGTATTGCCCTCCTTCTAAATAGTTGCTCCCCACAATCAACTCCAAGTCATCAAGGATACAGGAATCAAATAACATGCATAATATGTCAACCAGCCATAAGAGTTCATGTGGACTAAAGTATCCAGTTGCCCAGTGCACTAATTATACTGAACACTTTCACAACCTGCATGAACATGTATGTACCTGTTTGTCAGTGTGTGTACACTTTGCATATGAACTGGGGTCCTGTTCCGGCATAAATGTGGGACTTAAAAAATCACACATTCAGCTGTATACCCATTGAGCTCAAATTGAGAATTACCGGTACTCAATGCACACATAAAGAACAATCAAGTGACACGGCAGTGGCGTACCAAGAGTGGGGCAGTGGGAGCAATCTGCCCTGGGTACAGGCCATAAAGGGGTGCACTGCTGTACCCCAGAACTGATGGAAGGGGGAAATCTATTCGTCACCGGGAGGAGGAAAAAACAAGCAAGTGAAAGCAGGTGAGCTAGGTAGAAGCTGCCCAGTGATTCCCAGCTGCTGATCCTCAGGGTTTCTGCAGCTATGCACCCCCTCCCCTTTCTGGAACTGGATGGGGGGGGGGAGAATCAGGATTGGAAGGGGATGTCTTGAGCCTGGCTGCCTTCCTTGCGCCCAGTCCATTTCTTGCAGCACTGAGCTCTGATGTTTTCCCAAGAAGCTGCCCCTGCTGGCAGGCTGAGCCCCCACTGACACCAGAGAAGCAGCATCTTTCTCACACCAACCAAAGCAGACCAGAGGAGGAGGCAAGAGAATGGGAGGGGAACGGAGGGAGGGGGAGAGAGGAGGGGTGCTTGGCAGGCAGGGTGGCTGAGCAGAAATCTCTCTCTGAATCTGTAATTAAGACTCTGCTGGCATCCAATTAGAAAAAAAAGTCAGTTCTGAATCAGCTTGGCCAGAATGGCCCTTGCAAACAGTCCACGCAGGCTTGCAAATCCTTCACCATCCTCAATCCGCTTCATGCACACACACCAGTCCTAATCTAGTTCTCCAGACTTTGTCAGAAACTGGCTGGGGAGTGGATTTCTGAGCAGGTAACACCCACCACTGCCACAAAGAGCTTCAGTCCTGGTTATCATTCTTTTAGGGGTGCAAAGGGTAGGTCAAGCAAGAGTGCAGGTCACACTTCAGAAAGGGGGAGGCAAGGAAGAAATCTCAGGTTGACTTTGGGGTGCAGGATGAAGGAGAGGGTGCTAATTCATGGGGGGGGGGGTGATGGAGCTAAGGGGCAGGATGCCCAGCTCAAAACTCTACCCAGGCAAACCCCGCAGGTCTTTCTCACCCTTCTCAAATCCTGGGCATCAAATCCGCTAGCCATTGGTGGGAACTAAAAGCAGGCATGTGACAGGCTTCCCATTTTCTGCTGCCCTTTCTGCACCCAGCTCTTTCTTTCCTTGACCTCTGCTCTTCCTCACCCATCTTTTTTACCTAAGCCACTAACACCACATGTGTTGCTGCATCCGTCTGGGGCTATCAGGTGGGATCCAGGCTCCCTGGCCCCTCCAACTGGGTGACGGATCCCGGGGGCGGTTCCTACAAAGTTTGCCTGGAGGGGGTGTTAAAAAAATTATTCACTCCGGGTGTTAAATATGCTAGGTATGCCACTGGTACAGTGCACACAGATTGTGCATGCATCCACTGTAACCTGTGAATACGGCTTCTGTGTACAGTGTACTCTTGATTTTTAAAAAAATGCACACATTGAATAATTCTCATGTTACATTCAATGTATGCATAGCTAAATGTGTGATACAACCCCCTCATTTACCCAGGTACTGGTCCCCAGTTTCAACTGTAAAGTGAAAGTGTGCTGGCTCTTTCTTACGAACAGACATTGGAATGTACACACAGGATGTACATGTGTTCACTGTAACAAAATAACAGGGATACAGTCTGGCTACTATACCAATTAATATACTGTTATGTCTGCAGACCGCCACTAGGGGTCTGCGGCCTCAGTCCTTAGCTTGGTTCCAAACACTATAGACCAGTGATGGCGAACCTTTTAGAGACCGAGTGCCCAAACTGCGACCCAAAACCCACTTATTTATCGCAAAGTACCAACACGGCAATTTAACCTGAATATTGAGGTTTTACTTTAGAACAAACAACTCATACATTAACTTAAAATGATCCAAACAAAGTGAGGAAAGCAATCCCAAATGCTTTCATTTACTTAAAATTATTTGGCAGAGAATTTGACACTTTAATGATGGTCTGGGCCTGGCTGGGGCGATGGCACGCGTGCCCACAGAGAGGGCTCTGAGTGCCACCTCTGGCACCCGTGCCATAGGTTCGCCACCACTGCTATAGACCACCCTGAGTCCTCCAATAGGACCTTGGAGGGAAATTCAACCCCCCCCCCATGGGGTCATGAGCGGTATAGAAATCACATGTAAATAAATAAATAAATAAATAAATAAACAAACAAACAAACAAACTGTGGGTGTGCCCGGGTGGAGTGTATATAGTTGGCCCTTGCCGGGCCGTGTGTATTCTCTTGTTGTGAAGTACAATAAATGCGTCTAGTTAGCATGTCATAGTCTGAGTCTCCATGTGCGAACTCAGTACTTTACATATACTTCCTAATAGTCTTTTGTGTAGTCTTTGAAAAGATAGAAACTTCATCTATGGGCCTAAAAGCTTTCATCCTTATTTATAATAATTAAAAGAGAATCATGTTTAGATATCACGTATGCAGAAAATATCAGTAGTAGTCTTTTGGACATTAGGAAATGTCTGCTCTAAGGCAGCTATATTGTGCTTCAGTATCTAATTGCTGCCACCTAGTGGAACAGCCAGGAATTCTGACCAGGCTTCTGTTTCTCCTTTCAGATAAGAACAAGCAGAAAAGCTGTCAGGATGCAAAGACTAAAATAATTTTATTCCAGCAGAAGCTCTAGAGGACTAGAGTCAATTTTTTGAGATGCAATTAATGCATATCTTTGCATCCCTTGAAGTGGAGTCTGGTCCATGAATGATTCTCCTGGAATGAAATCTGGTTAGTCTTCAAGTGCCACAAGATTTGCTTATTTTTGTTGCAACAGATTTTCGTCTGGAATACTCTGTTTACCTTATAGGGGTGGGGGAAGCAAGGCTGAAAGCCAAGGAGCTTTTGCATTATTTTTCCTTATGGAAAGTATTGGCAGGAACTCAAAGCCAGTATCATGAGGCCAGTATCATTTTAACCAACAACTTTCTTTACAAAAATAAAACTGCATTACCTGAGAAAGACAATGTGTTGCTTTCCATGCTAACACAATTTCAGTTGTGCTTAATAATGTCAAAAAGATTCTCTTTGCAACATTAGGTGTATTCCTGTAAGTTTCTTCTAGCTATTGACAACTCTGATCTTGTACACCAAATGCAGCCATCCAAAAGTTAATACCTATCCCCTCAACCTCTTCCCTTGTCTCTCACTCCTTCCAGCCACTCCATCTGTTGCACATTGCTATGGCTTGCTCTCCCTCTCCCATAGAAACAGCTATGCTGCATTAGCCCACTGGCCTCTCTTGTCTAGCCTCCTGTTTACAGTATTGTCAATTAGATATCCTGCAATGTCCACAGGATGGGCATGTCATCCTCCCCTAGCCTCCTGAGCATGCCTCTGAACACAAAGGTTTCATTTAGTCACTGTAGCTGGTAGGCACTGATGGACCTCTCCTGGCTCCCCAGATGACTTATATAGTGAGGGGCAGCTCCTCCTCCTTCTCCTCCCCCACATATCTGCAGAGCTGCCACCTCCCTCCTTCTCTTCTCCTCATTTCTCTTTAGAGATTCTTTAAATAAATACTATTTGTTTATTTTAGTATTTAGTAGAAGTTAGGATTTGTAGAACATTTCTTTAGTGTGCGTGCATGTGTACGTGTGCACACATGTGTGTTTAAAATTCTGTATGATGGTAGTGGCGGCAGGGGGAAGTGGTGGTTCCCACTCCTCCTCCTCCGCCTGTCTGCACAGAACAGGTGATAGAAGTGTAAGCCAGGCAGACCCCCTCTCTTTATTGAGAGGCAATATGGAGGAGAATACCCCCATTTTACAGCACCCCCGGAGTACATATGCCTGGCAGACTTGACCTAGGTATAAACAAGATGGATCCCAGGCAGGCAGGCCTCATAATGATGCCTAGGCAAAATCCCTGGAAGGTGTAACATCTTGGTCTGACCCAGCTGCAGCCTCTCCTCCCCCCCCCCTGATTTCTGCTTGTGCCGGACAATGGAGCTGCCTTCCCCAGAGCTGACACCATTCAACCTGAATCACTAATCCTATCAGCCTCCTCTCACCTTTCCTCCTCACCTTTCCTTTACAAAACAACTCTCAATGTCTATCCCCTTTCCCACCTAATACAAAAGGAGGGCCACAACACTGTTTCTTTTCGACTGGTTTAATTAGCAATCCATTAGCCCTCTGAATCACCAGAGGAAGCAACCAGAGTTCCAGCCCAAACCCTATTTTACATCTGAAACTCCTAACAACATCTCTTGTTCCTTATTTCCATTCCTGGGAACACTATTCAGCCATTCACAGACACCTCTAGCTAATCTTACCAGAAGCACATTGGCCCCGGTCACACGGGCAGGAAAATGCAGGGGGCAAGCGTGGCTGTTTGCCCCGGAGCAAAATAACG